GAAACATTTTAATTTCTTTGCTTTTATTCACTGGCAGAACAACTGTTTATACGATAGCGGACGAAATTGCTAAGAACCATCCACACATGCACAAAAATATTGTATGGTTACTCGCAATAAAAAAAAGATTTACTGAGAACATTCCTAGTTACGACAAACAGCTGGCGGAAACATTTTAATTTCTTTGCTTTTATTCACTGGCAGAACAACTGTTTATACGATAGCGGACGAAATTGCTAAGAACCATCCACACACGCACAAAAATATTGTATGGTTACTCGCGATAAAAAAGATTTACTGAGAACATTCCTAGTTACGACAAACAGCTGGCGGAAACATTTTAATTTCTTTACTTTTATTTACTGGCAAAACAACTGTTTATACGATAGCGGACGAAATTGCTAAGAACCATCCACACACGCACAAAAATATTGTATGGTTACTCGCGATAAAAAAGATTTACTGAGAACATTCCTAGTTACGACAAACAGCTGGCGTAAACATTTTAATTTCTTTACTTTTATTACTGGCAAAACAATGTTGCACTTTATATTTAAGTGGAATGTCATTCAAGGAAATATAAATATTAAACATTGTTAAAATACGCTAGAACCCGTTTCATGAGTAACTAATATACTCATATGCTGTTTATCAATACCACATTGTGTTATGATGAACCAGCTGGTGCTAGCAATCGTATGAGAAGTGGTAGGGTGTTTCGATTCAGATGCTGTAATAAATGTATGAGCAGGTTGTGTATTTGAGATGTGATAACGAAGAAGCGAAGCGTACAGAATGTGATGTATTGACAAATACATTACGCGTAGAAAGATGTGCAGACTGAAATTTATTAACATGTGAGAAGCAGAATAATGTCTGGGTAAAAAGGTATTAACAGACCAATGGGAAATGACAGGATCATGAATTTTAGATGTTTTAACAACCGTGGAAAAATTCTTAAAGCAAGCAGTTAGGAGTATCGAGAAGTGGGTGTGCAAGTTTTTAAGTAAATAGGTATACATAGGTTGAGATAGTAGATAGAGGTGCGAAAAGTGGCAGGTTGTATAAGCTCAAAAATATTGACACATTTGTAAGGAGCACATAGAACATGTATGATGTTAACAGGCATTATCCCCACCACCAGTGGCTCAGCAGTAAGTCTGAAGGTTATAACGCTAAAAACCGGGGCTTGATACCCGTGGTGGGCACATCACAGATAGTCCATTATGTAGCTTGTGCTTAACAACAGACAAACAAGCAAAGTTAACGGACATGTGATAGGGTGTCCGGTAATAACGATACCTTTATAACCGGCCTAGAAATAACTCCATTAAGTAATAAGATATATGCCATACGTTTTTTAAGAGCAAGAGAATTAGCAGGATTTGTTGTTTTTTTAATTTAGCTACTTACTCAAGCCGTCCCTAATTTGAAGTTTATGGATCAGGGTTTCACCGGCAATCTTTTAGCACATTCGCGCTCTAAACTGCAATTTAGCGATAACGAGACGCGAACCATGGATTCTTGAATTCAAAGTTCGGCTTTCTAGCCACTAGGCCAAGTCCGCTCCATAACTGAAAAAGTTGTAGAAAAAGAATGATAGTTTTTAATCATTAAGTGAAATGGTCGTTATATTATTTTTTTAACGAATAATCCAGAAGAACCCGTCCAACAATAGAAACCATTACAGCATTATTAACATAAAGGCAGTTGCGCTACGAGTAACCTAAGAAAACACAATAAAAGTGAAGATTTTACGATGTAATAAAATAAAAATTTAAAGATAATGAAATAAAATGTGATTTTTTCAAGTCTTTTACTATGATTACTATGAGAAATTTTGATTATTTTGCGAATGTGTTCACTCTGAATCTTCAAACAATCTTAAAATGTGCTTATACAAATGTATGGGTAAAAAAGAAGAATATTACTATACTTATCTGTTTGATTGGAATTTACTGAAGGTGTTTCAATAAATAAAATGTTTTCAAATGGTACTTCATTTATTTATTTAATGTTTTACTCAATAAATTGCATATCACAGTAATATCAAAACAATCGGGATTCTTTATTATCTAACTTTTCGACAAAATGTTAGAGATTTCAGTGTTATTTTTGATAATCATGTTTATTTCTAAGTTTTATTTTCTCACCGAAACTTTTAGATCAGACATGAACATGTACACAAATCGATATATATATATATAAAAAGAACAAAATAATTTTGTGAGAACTTTGGCGTTTGACGCTTTTAGGTGAAAACATCGTGTATGTTTCTGGAAATAGCAAAGTTTCAAACCTTTGAACCTTTCAAAATGTGTATGATATTTTTTTCATTATACATCGATTGTCATATTTGTAATTCATATATAGTCCCAAAGTACGGAAAGCGTTTTTGCGGCAAAGGGTTGTAAATCACAAATTCCCGGATGTAAAGCCCTCACGCGCTCGTAACTGTTATAAAAAATTAGATTTTATACAGATACTTATTTTGATACAAAATAAATTAGAGAACATCTAAGTAATATTCAATCAAGAAGGCTATCAAATCAAGAAAATACACCGTTATGTTTGTTTGTTTTTAATTATGCACAAAGCTACACAAGGGCTATCTGTGCTCTACCCACCACGGGTATCGAAACCCGGTTTCTAGCGTTGTAAGTCCGCAGACATACCGCTGTGCCACTGGGGGGCTACACCTTTATATATGTGGATCTTTTC